AAAAAAAAAAAAAAAAAAAAAAAAATAAAATAAAAAAAAAAAACAAAAAAAAAAAAAAAAAAACAAAAAAAAAAAAAAAAATTTTATAAAAAAAAACAAAAAAAAAAAAAAAATAAAAAAAAAATTTTTTTTTTTTTTTTTTTTTGTTTGTTTTGCATGTTTATGTACGTGACTGATCATTTATTTATGCAAATAAGTAAACACCAAAAACAAGCACCCATGGAAGAAATCATATTGTATTCAACTTCCCCTTTGATAAACAGGAGGTTGGGTTAGAAATTGGTCGATTTTTAAAAATGCTCAATTCACGAAATGTATGCCTTTGTTTTTCTCAGCTGTTTAGCCCTGATCCAATAAAACAACCGCCTGTATAGAGATATGTGTCATGATTGATGGCACTGACACATGGTTCAGCGAAATGTGTCACCATTGATGGCACCGGTACATGCTACAGAGAAATGTGCCAACATTGATGGCACTGATACAGGCTACAGAGAAATGTGCCAACATTGATGGCACCGATACGTGCTACAGAGAATTGTGCCAACATTGATGGCACTGATACATGCTACAGGGAAATGTGCCAACATTGATGGCACTGACACATGCTACAGAGAAATGTGCCAACATTGATGGCACTGATACATGCTACAGAGAATTGTGCCAACATTGATGGCACTGATACATGCTACAGGGAAATGTGCCAACATTGATGGCACTGACACATGCTACAGAGAAATGTGCCAACATTGATGGCACTGATACATGCTATAGAGAAATGTGCCAACATTGATGGCACTGATACATGCTACAGAGAAATGAGCCACGATTGATGGCACTGACACATGCTATTATGGGGAAGGGAACATTCTAGCAAAAGGCATATCCTCCACCCTAACCATTATCTCATCAATGACGGGAAGCTCTGATAGTTACATTTTATTAGAGAGTCATTTTTTTAATTTTCATCTTCGCTTTTTATATTTTAAGTTCTCCTGATGATATAAAGATATTAAATTTGTAAGGATTGCAGCACATTGTGTTTTAGACTGCAATTTTTTTTCCTTTGCATGAGTTTAGTTCGAATCGAAATCTTCAATGAATATCCTACACTAGGCCTGCACAACTCAAAACGTAAGGCGGCCTTAATACATTATGAAAAACTTGTGCGGGCCAAAAGAAAATAGGACAGGACTTTTGCGGGCCAAAAGAAGTTAGGTCAAGGGGAAAGCTATTAAGAAAATAATAAAGAATAAAGAGAATTTCGTTACTTCACGGGCAACAAAGTGGGTAATGGCGGGCCACATGCGGCCCGCGGGCCGTATGATGCGCAGGCCTGGCCTACACAATTATTTTATTATTATTATTAAATTTTTTGGACATAGACTATTCTGGTGTATAATTTGTTTATTTATTTATATAATTTTGGCAGATTTTTTTTCCTATTTTTTTTGTTATTATCACTGTTGTGTTTGTTCACTTTTTTTGTTGTTAATTTTTTTTTAGATACTATTTATTATTAGACTCTTGATATCATGTTGTATTATACTTATTTAAGATATGCATTTATGAGTTTGAATTGTCTGCTAAAGAAAACTTTTATCCAGACTGTTTAATATTCTGTACTGTAAATAATTTTTTTGTAATAAAAAAAATTTAACTCAGTTTTCTAAACAGTTTGTTTTTAATTTTCCTTTGCTTATCTGTTTATCTGTTGTTGAAAATAATGTATTTAAGGGGGTCTTCATTTACGCAATAACAATGTAATGCTTTTAAACATTTCATTTGACTGGAAGTTTTAAAATATTTTTTTTTCCTTTCACTTACAGCAAAAATGTTCATTTTGATAAAGCAACATTAAATTTAATAATATTTTGACAAACACCAATTATTATTGGAAATAGTTTTATGAATATTTTTTTTTTCCGATCAATAATAGAAATGGTAAATTATTTTCTGATGACTGCATAGAAAAGTAGAAGAGACGGCAAAAATTGAAGCCATTTGCAAATGTGAAAAGGCCAAAACGCAAACATGTGATTAAAAATTTGTAAAATTAGTTGTCTGACAATTCAATTGGTTACTACTTGTCTGAATTTAACAGCAGTTACCTAGGGGGTGGGGAGTATGGCCCCAAAAAGGAGCTGGCAAATTTATATTTATTCAGTTAATATTGATTTTAAACATAAGTGGTATTCCAATTAGTTAACATACGGCATGCTTCCGTAGGGACAATAAAGTTGTAAGTGTAAATAACGATGTGCCAAAAATATTGTATTCTTTCAGTCAATTCATACCAAAATAATACAATAAAATAGGAAAAAAAAAAAAACTATATGATATTTTCGAGAGATGAAGGTTAAAAAAAATTAATATATGTATTTTTTTTTTAAATAGAGAAGCCTGGTAACAAATTTCTTTGTGAAAGACGTTCTCTTTACTTGCATTTTATTCTTGTGGAGCATAGCATTTCAATCTTGTGGGGCATAGCATTTCAATCTTGTGGAGCATATCATTTCAATCTTGTGGAGCATAGCATTTCAATCTTGTGGAGCATAGCATTTCAATCTTGTGGGGCATAGCAGTTCCATCTGGTGGGGCATAGCATTTCAATATTGTGGGGCATAGCAGTTCCATCTGGTGGGGCATAGCATTTCAATCTTGTGGGGCATAGCAGTTCCATCTGGTGGGGCATAGCATTTCAATCTTGTGGGGCATAGCAGTTCCATCTGGTGGGGCATAGCATTTCCCTCTGGTGGGGCATAGCATTTCCTTCTGCTGGGGCATAGCATTTCCATCTGGTGAATTTCCATCTTGTGGGGCATAGCATTTCAATCTTGTGGGGCATAGCAGTTCAATCTTGTGGGGCATAGCATTTCAATCTTGTGGGGCATAGCAGTTCCATCTGGTGGGGCATAGCATTTCCCTCTGGTGGGGCATAGCATTTCCCTCTGGTGGGGCATAGCATTTCCATCTGGTGGGGCGTATTTTATTTTGTTTCAACACGTGCGATTTGAAGAATTTCTCGTGCACTGTTCACCTGTTGAACGGCTTAAAAAGGGAGCGTAAGGTTGTGAGCGAGCTCTCTTGTAATTTTAGCCACCGAGGCTGGTTGACACTGTCAAGGGTGGATGAGCTCAGATCTACTTTTTAGTTTTATACTTAGGTAAAGAGTTAAGTCACTTCCACATGGCTCTTGTAAACATTCGGCTCTTTAAACGGTCAACTATTCTACTTTTGTCAATGATTTCAAGATTTACGTTTATAAAACTGACATTTCCCGTAAATGGTTTAGTATACAAGGCACGAGAATACAGGTCAATATATTATGACCTATTAAATATTCATTATGCTCTTAATCAATGGAATGATTATGATTGTCTTCGCATTAAACTGAAATAAAATTTCGCTAACAACTATTTGTTTTTGGGGAGTATACATAATTTTTTTAGACATTTTATTGACCCATTTCTTATTTTCTCCATGCGCATCAAAGTAATTATGATTACATTAGATGTCAATTTAACCGACGAAAGCTGGGACATCTCTACAACATTTAAGCATTGGTCAAGGTTTTATAATGAATAAACCAAGTATTCGAACCTATTTTTTTTTAAAAATAAATTTTGCAACGGAATAGAGTATAGAGTTATCGTTAAATTTTTCAAGTGTATAAATTTATAGCTTAATTTTGCAAGTGCATAAAGTTATTGTTAAATGTTGTTAGTGTTAAAAGTTATAGTTTAATTTTGCAAGTGTTATAAAGTAATAGTTAAATATTGTCAGTGTATAGGCCTAAAGTTATAGTTTAATTTTGCAAGTGTATAAGGTTATATTTAATGTTGCACGTGTATAAAGTTATAATAATATTACCAGTGTATAAAGTTATAGTTTAATGTTGCCAGTGTATAAAGTTATAGTTTAATGTTGCACGTGTATAAAGTTATAGTTTAATGTTGCCAGTGTATAAAGCTATAGTTTAATATTTATTATATTTGTAAATTACTAACCGGTGTCTAATTTTTATATGAAATAATAAATCATATCTCATCGAATGGCTGGTTTTCCCCCTTTTTTCGTTTTATGAAAACTTTGGAAAAAAGTTGCCGTCTTAAGACTTCTTTATTTTTAAACAGAAATCTGTGCACTGATTTTACGACAAAACGGACAAGTAAAAACAATAAAATACTTATCAAAAAGAAATTGACCTACAAAAGACCATTGAGTTATTTCTTATTAACGTGTTTATTAATTTTTTTTTAATCTTACAAGTGCATCAATCATTTTTGTTCAAATAATGACTTGAATCGTATTGCTTTTGTGCTTCACGTTTCATTAGCGAAATCATTTGAAGATGAATTAATTTAATGCTAGAATAAGATTTTGAATTCCTTTGCTACATGCAGAAGTCTGATATATAGAATGCGCAATCACTAGCTTGAGCTCTTTGTAATAAATTACGTCAGTATATAGCTTAAGTTCTTACATTCTAAAACTAATACCAACTAAATAAATTCTATCATATAAATTACGCTGGTCATTCAGCTTACAAAGATGAGCAAGGGATATGAAATTCCTGAGGATACGCCTCTGACATCAAGTGTCTTGCCAGTTGGAATGGACTACCATTGTACCTGAATGTTTACTAATCTATGTGGAGTTTTTTTTAATACTCTTCAACCACAAAAATGTATGTACCTTAGCTTCGATCTGGGAGATTTTTTTAATACTCTTCAACCACAAAAATGTATGTACCTTAGCTTAGATCTGGGAGATTTTTTTAATACTCTTCAACCACAAAAATGTATGTACCTTAGCTTAGATCTGGGAGATTTTTTTAATACTCTTCAACCACAAAAATGTATGTACCTTAGCTTAGATCTTTTTCCCGTCAAAATTTACAACAGCTAGGTATTCGCCATTGCTTTTTCAAAAAGTTCTGGGTGCGACTCTGGGGGAAGGGGGGGGGGGCGAAGGCATATATAAAAAAGGAGGTCCAAAATAGATCTTTAAAATGTATGCAGAAAATGAAAAGATAAAATGAACCTAGAAATTATATACAAACCAGGGTGGACACATACTATCTCATAAAAACTATTTAGCGTATAACTACGAAATTACAAAACAATTACCACAATAATTAAACCCTATTTTGCACAACTGTCTCAGCTGTATTGATCATTTGGCGCACCCTGTGAATGTGGTGTGAAGCGATGCATTTTAGAGCATACCTGAATTTTAGATTTGCATCATCATACACCTAATCGTGCAATACAAGGAGACTCTGTTGGATATTTATCTCCTTTAGGTAAGTTAGATCAGCTAGTCACATCCAAGAAAGAGATTTCCTTTTCTTAGTTGATGATGAGTTGAAATTATGAGGCCGATCATTTAGCTTTAAAAAGTTCTCCAATTTTTATGGGTGATAAAATATTTAGCTATAATAGAGGGACTTTGTTTTAAAGTAAATGCTTAGATTCTTTGTTGTCAACGTTCTCCTGTAACCCTGAGCGCGTGTTTATATTGCATAGTGATTTACCCGGGGCCTGTTCACAAGTACTCTTTGCACTTACTACACTGCTATATCTACGTGACACTATTTTTAAAAAAAAAATATTGTCATTTGTCTAAAACAGCGTTTCTCAACCTTCCTGTCACGACCCTTTAATACAATTCGTCATTTGCGGTGATCCCCAACCACAAAATTATGTTCGTTGCTACTTCATAGATATTTGTTTTCCGATGGTCTTAGGTGACCCCTGTGTAAGGGTCATTCTACCCCCAAAGGGGTCGTGACCCACAGTTTGAGAACCGCTTGTCTAAAAGGTGTGTTTTTTAGAGATGGGATGACGCGTTACTCTCCCCCCCCAATCCTTCCTGTTGCTAGTAAATCCACTCACATCTCTACATCATCTGCTTTGTGTGCATCAGTCGCCACCGGTGGACTTGCCTCTTGTACAATATGGTGTGGACGCACATGTCCATCAGTTTTATGATGATGATCAGGGAGTAGATGTTGCAGTACTTACGCAGCCAGTGGTACAGCACAACGTAGCAGCCCTCCTGGCAAGTAGAGACACCATTTCTAGAAGCGGGGCTGAATGGTTCACTACAGATTTGAAGTTTGGTTGGTTCGTGGGGGGGGGGGGGGGGGGGGGAATCATGTCAGGAATTTACAATGGAAGTGAGCGGACAAAAAGTAGGGGAAAACCGGGAGAGTAAAACAAGGTCGCGACAAAACAATGAACTTGTCGACAAGAAGCCTTCATCAGCGAACAAACAATAGTAAAAAACTGAATCTGATTTTTTTAAACATAATAATCAGCTGTAATGTAGTATCCGAGAGGACAGCAAGAGGAATGAGACAGAGTATAAAGGAGAGATTAAATATAGGCAAAAGGGGACAGAAGAGAGGAAAAGTAAGCCCGGTGCGACTGGTCGTAACAAGAAGGGGGGAGGGAGAAAGGGTTTAAAAAGTGAATGAAAACAAGACATTCATGCCATGTAAAAAAAAAAGGGGGGGGGGGGTGTCAAGGCTCCATAAGTCCGGATCAGCTTGTTGTCCAAGTTCACCCAGTTTGTTGTGTTTGTAGAGGACGAAATTGCTCTAATAATAAAACCCTTTGAACCCTTACGGTCGCTTCTATTCAAGTGTTCACAGACGGGACACTGCTTGTCTTTGTTTCGCTCATTTCCATTTGTCCAAACATGATTGCAGTCTCCCCACACCCCCCCTCTCTCATTATTAGGGATTTACAAGGAAGGAGGGTATATGAGGTATAAACAACGTCATCTATAATCAACTACTTATTTATATTCAAAATAAATGTATACATATAGAGGTGTCACCTCGATGCCTGTTTGTTAATCCGTAGGCCTGCATAAGCTATCGGTAGCATGGAGACGCTTCCAAACCCTCAAAAAAAGTTAACATTACACAAAAACACAGTTTGTTCTGATTCTAAATAAGGAAGTGAATTTAAAGGTAATGTTATTGGATTTTTTTTTTAAATGACTAAATGACTAAATGTATCATGACGTATTTTATGTATCAGTGACATATTTTATGTATCAGTGACGTCTTGTATGTATCATGACGTATTTTATGTATCATGACGTATTTTATGTATCAGTGACGTATTGTATGCATCAGTGACGTATTTTATGTATCAGTGACGTATTTTATTTATCAGTGACGTATTTTATGTATCAGTGACGTATTTTATGTATCAGTGACGTTTTTTATGTATCAGTGACGTATTTTATGTATCAGTGACGTATTGTATGTATCATGACGTATTTTATGTATCAGTGACGTATTGTATGTATCAGTGACGTATTGTATGTGTCAGTGACGTATTGTATGTGTCAGTAACGTATTGTATGTGTCAGTGACGTATTTTATGTATCAGTGACGTATTTTATGTATCAGTGACGTATTTTATGTATCAGTGACGCATTTTATGTATCAGTGACGTATTCTATGTATCAGTGACGTATTTTATGTATCAGTGACGTATTTTATGTATCAGTGACTTATTTTATGTATCAGTGACGTATTTTATGTATCAGTGATGTATTTTATGTATCAGTGACGTATGAGTGAAAAAGTCTTTGTGGTTAGAAAAATGTGTGCAGATGTTTAGCCAATGGGAGCGGTGCTTTTGTATAAATATGATGCCGTTTTGTTTTTCATCAAGAGAGCTGTGATGTGTCAGTTATCATTGTCGGTGCAAGTATTAGTTTATGATAATGTTAAAGATAGCTTTTTTTCTCCCTTACGACTGTTACAAGAGTGCATTGTGTTAAACTGTTAAGCAATAATTTTAGCTTAACGCCTGTGGGGATGTATCTTATTCACTAATTGATATGAGAGAGACGTATCACTATTGTTTGTTTGTTTTTTTTTTAAAATTAACTTTAAAATTATTTACCGAATAAATGTTTTCCGCTTTTGTAGCGCAGTCAAGGACATTGGCCGGCTCCTTCTCAAAGACGGCCCGAGTGCAGCAAGTGGGAGGGACCTATGAGTGGGAGGGGGTTGGGAGGAATGGTAATTACACACGGTAACAAGTAACAGGGTGTCAAAATAGGGTAAGCTTGAATGAAATAGGGTTACTTTGAATGAAATAGGGTTACTTTGAATGAAATAGGGTTACTTTGAATGAAATAGGGTTACTTTGAATGAAATAGGGTTACTTTGAATGAAATAGGGTTACTTTGAATGAAATAGGGTTACTTTGAATGAAATAGGGTTACTTTGAATTAACGAAATATACAAATGGGTGTAACAAAATGAGGAGAGAAATAGATTAGCAAAATTTAAATATGGAATAGCGCCAGATGAAAATAAAATTGTAGACGAAAAAGAACACAATAAATTGGGGGCAGGCAATGTGTTAATTTAACCCCAGGTCAGGCTTTCAGTCAGGGGCGTCCTTTTGTTTTTTCATGGGGGGGGGGAATTACTTGGTTGGCTTGCTACATAGCAATTAAATAAAACCTGCAAATTCAGGAGGGGAGGGGCTAATGCCCTACCCAAAATGACGCCCCTGCTTTCAGTTTGAAGATTGGACTTATGGGTGAAAAAAAAAATTCACTATCAAATCAACGTAGAGTGATTCTGTTCATGCGATGGCTGGGATGAGGGTGGTGCGAAATCAAATGCTTTTTTTAAACATTTATTGAGCTAGTGATTCTCCTTAACATGAAATCCAACATTCGAACAGATCCAACATTATAGAGTAAGGTATCTGCTATAGAACGTGTACCTGCAGCTTCTTACTCTCGTTGCCTTTTTGTAGATATTTCAGTTCCATGTCCTGAAAATCGAACTGATCCACGATACCACAACAGCCTCCCTGGGGTGAAACAACAAAAACATGCATCAAGTCATTAGGTTTTGGTTTTTAGCTGTAACGTGCTGCAGTAAAGCATTCGAAGCGTAATAAAAAAACCTGATAAAAATCTGGGAATGTGGGTGGTGCTAGTAAAAGATTCAAGTATGCAGCTTTAAAGTAGGCAGCAGACAGTGCTGAGTGCTAACTTAACACTGCAGCCGTAAGGGTGGGCGGGTGGCTTTCTGGGAAAATAGTTAATAAAAGAGTTAGAAGTACGGGCGGTGCTGCTAAATAAGCACTGTAGACATTTCCCCTCTCTCTCTCTCTCTCTCTCTCTCTCTCTCTCTCTCTCTCTCTCTCTCTCTCTCTCTCTCTCTCTCTCTCTCTCTCCCTCTCTCTCTTTTTCATTTGTTTTTCTCTTTAAAAACATTCACGTTAAAGAACCGATTTTTATAACCGTGGGTTGAGAACGGTAATCTGTGCATTCTTTGTTGGCCCGAGTGGCTGAACACCTGTGATTTCATTTTTCAAACAGTCTCTGAGGGAGCTAGTGATTCTCCTTAACATGAAATCCAACATTCGAACAGATCCAACATTATAGAGTAAGGTATCTGCTATAGAACGTGTACCTGCAGCTTCTTACTCTCGTTGCCTTTTTGTAGACATTTCAGTTCCATGTTTAGGGGAAAAAAAGGGGGGGGGGGGGCGCGACCTCTAGATTTGTAAATGTTTCTATTGATTTATATACCCAGTGGCGTAGCTAGGGGCTGCACGGGGTGCGGACCGCAACGGGTGACACCAACCCTATAGCCACGCCACCAAAACTTACCCATATCGCTAGAACGTCGTAAGTGACGGACAAGGTGGCGCTGTCGTCGATGGCGTATTGATTGGTGAACTTCTCCTTCAGGGTGGCAGTGGATTCCTCGTTGACGGCCGACACGGGCGACATGTGGACGTTGATGATGTTGATCTCGACGAGGATGACGGCGCCGGTCAGGAGGATCGCCATAGGTAGTGTGTACGTGTTGCTGTGTTTATGTGTGTGTGGTTTGGGGGTGGGGGTGGGGTGAGATACGAACGATAATAACCTCATGGATCAGGTTAAGTTACGTATAAATTGTAAAAAGTGTGATCTATTTATTTTATACGTAATGCATAGGAAGATGAGGTCAAAACTTGTAAATATTTATATATAAGATAATAACCTCATGGATCAGGTTAAGTTACGTATAAATTGTAAAAAGTGTGATCTATTTATTTTATACGTAATGCATAGGAAGATGAGGTCAAAACTTGTAAATATTTATATATATATATATATATATATATATATATATATATATATATATATATATATATATATATATATATATATATATATATATAGATGCCACACACAAAATCACACTACTTTGGGGAGACAACTCTTCTTTCTTTAAACACGAACTTTTCTTGAGGAAAACGAGTTATCTGCGCTGTGTTATTTCTAAATCTTTCGGTAAGCATTCATAATTTTTTAGAAATATGGGTACTCCCTCGGCCCCCTTCTTTTGTTTATAATATTTTTGTTTTACTTTCAGAATTTGTTTCTAAAAAAAACGTCGATAATATACGGCATTAAAAAAATACAGGAGTAGGATGTTGATACCGTTTTCTTTTTTATCTTCGACAAACCAGTTCTCGGCTTCAGGAGTACGATTTAAAAATGGGTTTTTTGGTGTTTTTTTTTTTACTATCAGACTTTGGTTCTGCGAGAACGCATGGGAACGGCGCTCCTGTACTTTTTAGCTAAGCAATAATAAATGCATCTTTATTTAGAAGGAAAAAGGGGGAGGGGGTGCTTATGTGACTTTTCCACACTTTTACCCCCAGGACTTAAACAACAGGAATTCACCCACAGGATTTGACCCCCACGCCTTGAGACACAGGACTTGCCCCCTCCCAGGACATGACCCCCAGGCATGGGCGCCCACAGGTAGGGGCAAGGTGGGGCACTTGCCCCCCCCCCGGTTTTGATTGGATAAAAAAATTTGAGCCAAAATAGACAAACAATTTATTAAAGTAAAGAGAAAATAAAGAGAAAGTAACTAAGCTGATGTCCTGTCCGTTCGTTCACCATACAAATACGCTACAGTAAATTAAAACTATATTAAAACATTACTAAAATAGACAAACAATTTATTAAAGTAAAGAGAAAATAAAGAGAAAGTAACTAAGCTGATGTCCTGTCCGTTCGTTCACCATACAAATACGCTACAGTAAATTAAAACTATATTAAAACATTACTAAAAATCCCCCCCCCTGGAAAGTTAATCGATTTTTTTTGCCCCTCCCCCTAGAAAGTTTTCTGCGGGCGCCCATGACCCCAGGACTTTACCCCAACAACTTGACCCACATGACTTGACCCACATGACTTGAGCCACATGACTTAACCCACAGGACTTGACCCACAGGACTTGACCCCCGGACTTGGCCCCCAATTTGCATTGCATTCTTGTCTGTTCCTCACAGTTTTCTCCTTTTTTAAAAAAATATCTTGAGTTTTTTTTTTTTAAATCGAAACTCGGGTTATTAAAATTAACAAACGGTCATAGGTTTAAAAACATAGAAAACGCATATCCGGCTCGAGTTTAGAAAAAAATGTTAAAACTAGTTGAGCCAAATATTTGCAATGCAATATTAAATTAAAAGTTGTCTTTTTTTAACGGAGCAATAAAGTAATAAAGCGACAGGTACACATCTGTAGACACGTATGCACACATCGAGACACGAATTAACTGTCTCGATGTTCTTAAAACATATGGTACACATGCTGAGACAAATTACGGTCACAATCTAGAGACGCCTTGTGGCCCTTATGATAATTTTGACACGGCACGGCTTCGTTTTTCAAATGAATATAATGATTGTAATATCAGTATGTGCCCGCAAAAGTGTATACATGACGGAACAGCCTGCACTTGTAATGAAATGATTGATGGACTGTGTTTATGACGAAAAGGTCGCTAGACTTACCTACGAATGAGAAAACTCATGTAAAGGAGGATACACAGAAAGTATGATGCGTTCAGCATAATTAGGGAATTTCCGATGATCTAAACAGAATAGATAACATTAAGCAAAGAGCATTAAGGGAATTCCCCTGTGCAAGAAATATGAAGACCTGAGTTTAATTTGGGAATTCCCCTTTTTCAGTTTAATTTAGGAAATCCCCAGCGGATAAAAAAAAAAAAAAAGCATTCAATGTATTGAGTGATCTCCCCAAGGTACAATAATGTTATTTAAACAACTAGGTCTCTAATTTAAGACACTGACAAATAAAGTAAAGCAATAATAAAGTGTTTTACTTGATTGCATGTTTCAACCCCTAACCCTACTGCTCAATATCACATTTCATACCTGATTTATACGAAAAACTTTGTTTTTAAGGGTTGTTTAATTTTAATTCAATTATAATCAATTCTAAATAATTTTAGTCCAATCTTACTTAATTTACAGGTATTGTAATAAGCCTACAGGAAAAATAAAACAAATGTTTTAATCGTAATTAACTTAATGTGGTGATGTTGGGGAAGCACTTACAGGAACCAAATTTCCAAATATCAATTCGTCGGGGACAGATTCGAAGCGGACAAAGTGCGAATATTTTGCGTACGCCCTCATTTCCTCGATATCTCTCATGACGAGTCTCGTGAACTTGTACCGCAGGATAATGCCAACGATGACAAGCAGCAGACACAGCAACTGGAAATGTGCAGGTAAATGAGGGATCAAAAGGATGGCTAGTGAGTACTTGTGTGGATGATCTAATCTGCTTGACTGGAGAGTACGCAATCCATGTACGGTGCCGTGTACGGACTTAGACTTGATGAGGCCCTAAGCTATAAAAAAAAAACAAAAAAAAACTATATCCAGACGTCCCATACGGTTTTAAATTGCATCGGCTGGGCAAATAAAAAATTAAAATATAAAGCCATATAAATATATGCTAATAGATTGCCTTTTAATATATATATTTTTTTAATTAATAAGAATGTGCTTACAAAATTCGTGAAATAATTATTTTGCATAATCCTACATCAAAAGGGCTGTAAGTTATAACTTGACATTTTTTTTTTTTTTTTTTTTTTTTTTTTTTTCTCAAAAGAAAAATTTTTTTTTTTTTTTTTCAAATATTTTTTTCCTTCATTAAACATTTTTTTTTTTTTTTTTTTTTTTTTTTTTTTTTTTTTTTTATTTTTGTTTTTTTTTTTTTTTTTTTTTTTTTTTTTGTTTTGCTCTGAGTTAATTTTTTATTTTCTTTATTTTTCTCCTGAACAATCTGTTACTATTTAACACGGGAATATTCGAAATCTTGCCTCCACATTTGAGAAAACCAACGCAATCTTGTCTTGAAGTAATTATTAAAGCTTATCTTATAATGTTACATTGACACAATTTGTTCGTGTCTCATTAATCTTGTTTTGAAAGACGATTTGATAAAAGTCTTTTTTCCGGATAATTCTGCTTTCCATAGTCAAGGTATCGATACTATCATGGTATGGCTTCATGTCACTCGTGAGATTACTATCATAACTCGCTTTCGGTGTTCTTTCATGAATGCAGCTACAGCTTGACGTAGCTGTACTTCTGAAACGCCTCAATCAGCTGACATTAAAATTTACTTGCGACATAATTGTAGGCGGATGTCCTTCTTGTTAATTTTGCCTCAGAGGCTTGATATGAATGGTGTGACTCAGTCTAATTTCGTCTCTTGTGGTAAGCGTTTCATTTCCATCTGGTGCAGTGCCATCATTGGCTTGTTTTTCCTAACTCCCCCCACCTCCCACCCCCCAACTTGTTTCGTTTCACTGTAGACGTATACTCAAAACCAGGCAATCGGTACTTCAATTATTTTTATTATGTTATATCATTAATATTCTCTCGATGTCTTAACATAGTGAGAAAGTGACAACAAATTTCCACATGTTGTAAGTGCAATCTCTGGTTCCTGGCGAGCCACACAGTTTTTTTGTTTTTTTTAAAGATATATTTGAACTAGGTATGATGCAAGCTTGAATTAAGAAACAGGACAATGAGACAAGTACATTTCGGCTAAGAGCCTTCGTCAGCAGACAGCACATATACAATTAGGACAGGAAATAGAAACACGTTTTTTAAACCATGTTGTCGGAGAAAACAAAATAGAAAAACGTAGACATGTTCAACAATGTAAACATATAAAATTTCTATTTAAGATATAAATATAAGAGAAGTACGGGTCCTGAATACACGCTAAGATGGCACGTGACAAGTCATGTGAGTGAGTTTATGTGTCATTGTGACTATCCCACAGGTTCATGCTGAATCTAGTTTAGTGATGCGCAGAATTGATTATTTTGTGTAAACAATCGAATAATGCGCGAAACATAGCTTTATGCGTTATGTCAAAAGAAATAATTTCTATTTTTTTTTTAAAGTCAGAGCATTGAAACATAGACAAGAGCAGAAAAATATAATATGAGTGGCCGCACAGGAAAGGATAGTAAAGCGTTTAGTACTGAGATTCACCTTAGAAATAGTATTGTAAATAGATTTAGAGGTTGACAAACGGTCCATATCGAAAAAATTACACAAAGCTGGCCGGCTTCCGGTCAACGAATTATAGAAGTTTAACTTGCAAATGTGTAATTTTAAAATAAAGCGTGAAAAGTTCGGTAAAAGTAAAATAGAAAAAAAAAGAAGAAGAAGAAGAAAATATGAAGAAGAAAATAATTAAACGATTTCTATCCTCACGGGTAAATAGTTTGGCCCTAAGCCCGAAGCTGTAGTTTATTTGTTGTTTTATTGTTAGCATCCGGCACTGACTCGACACTTTCGGCGACTGGCGAAAATTGCGATGGTGATTTGCGAGAAAGAACCGATGGAGGGAGTCCAAAGAGATACGATGAAATATAATACATGTCTTTATACCCTATTTATGGACTTCGCATGGACCCAAGCCCCATCAAATGACCTCCTGTACAGTGGACCTCAGTAGGATACTCGAATAACAGGACTGATCAGCCACGTCTGCGCTCTATGAACGTGTGTATGAAATATTTTAACGGCTTTTGCGTTGTTGGAGACGTTTCCAGATGACCAAATGCCGCTTAGGAAAAGATATTGTGGAATTGGGGTGAAAAATAACGCTATTTATAGGAAGGATTTCAGGTGGTGATTTTAAAAATCAAACACCCTTAAAAGAAAGGTGCACAGAGACTGCCACACTAGAATCGAATCTTACGTCACTTGCTGTGGTGGTTAAATCGCCTGGAGTGTCATCTAAATCCCCCCTCCCATGGGCGCCCGCAGAAAACTTTCTAGGGAGGGGGCAAAAAATCGATTAACTTTCCAGGGGGGGGGGGGCAAAATTTTTTTAGTAATGTTTTAATATAGTTTTAATTTACTGTAGCGTATTTGTATGGTGAACGAACAGATAGGTCATCAGCTTAGTTACTTTCTCTTTATTTTCTCTTTACTTTAATACATTTTTGTCTATTTTTGTCTAAGTTTTTTTATCCAATCAATCCAGGAGGGGGGGTGCAAGTGCCCCACCTTGCCCCTACCTGCGGGCGCCCATGCCCCCCCCCCTTTAAAAAAAAAAAAAAAAAACCCGACCCGAATGTTTGAGCACTGCTCAATAATATCCAAATGTATACCACTGTCCAATTACATTCGATCGAATGTATACCACTATCAAGTTACATTCAAATTTAAAGCCTGTCCAGTTTTACCAGAATGTCAACCCATACCAGTTGCATACACTTGTCCTGTTACATAAGAATTTATGCACCCGTACAGTAACATACGTGTGCATACCCTTGTCCTGTTACATAAGAATGTATACACCCGTACAGTAACATACGTGTGCATACCCCTGTCCTGTTACATAAGAATGTATACACCCGTACAGTAACATACGTGTGCATACCCTAGTCCTGTTACATAAGAATGTATACACCCGTACAGTAACATACGTGTGCATACCCTTGTCCTGTTACATAAGAATGTATACACCCGTACAGTAACATACGTGTGCATACCCCTGTCCTGTTACATAAGAATGTATACACCCGTACAGAAACATACCTGTGCATACCCTAGTCCTGTTACATAAGAATGTATACACCCGTACAGTAACATACGTGTGCATACCCTTGTCCTGTTACATAAGAATGTATGTACCCGTACAGTAACATACGTGTGCATACGCCTGTCCTGTTACATAATTGATTACATCTCACAGTTCAGTGGCATCCGAATGTATTTTGACAGTGTTTTTTTTTTAATACTCACCAGTATCATGAGATTCCATACAAACAGAAACTTGACAAAAAAGGATTGCTGGCCGGCGTCTTCATCCTCTTCCGCCTCTTGCACGTCATTTTCCTCCCGCTTTTCCTTCTCCTCCCTTGCTCTCAAATCCTCCAGCTCTTGCTCCTCATCGCTGCCAACATCTTCATCGCCTGAAGAAGGTGTTGATAAATGTTTGTCAAGTCACTCTGCTAACCGAAGCGTTTTGTTTGGTTTTGTTTTGTTTGTTTGTTTTAACGTTCAAGTTTTAAGTTTCCTGAAATTAAATCAGATCCAAGCTGTGGTGGGCGAAGCAAAATGAAACGGCCTGGGGTTTTAATATAAATATTACAGGGGTGGAAATTATTATTTATTTTTTTAGGTAATAAGTGCGTCTATCTTCTTCTCTCCTAACTAACGCACAAATTCTGGCCAGGGTCTGAGATTACTCTCCTATGACCCCGGCTAGTACATGGCTATAGCTCCATCTGTTGAGCTGAGCCATATAACATTTTCTTCTCTCCTATATTATGCCGTCCTAGGTTATTTCTCTCTCACACTATGCCCGCTTAGGTTCCTTCTGTCTCAAATTCTGTGTATAGGCTTGTCCTCGATAAAAGTCAACCATATTACAAAGAGAAATAAAAGCAATCTGAAATTTACCACATTTAAAAAACAGACACAACAATATAAAACTACATACGAGCATACCAAGTCAAAGTCTTTCATCCCGTTTCAACCATAAGCAACATAGGCCAATATACATACATATATAT